AAGCGTGACTGACACGGTGTGACTGACAACATGCATTGGTGTGATTCATCCGTACAGTAGGAGCTTGTGAACGAGTGTGTAAAAGTTGTGCTGGAAAGTGTAAGTATGAGCCTGGAGCAGTTATGTACCAACAGCTGCAGTAATGCTCCGTTATCCCCTACATATTACACACACATTACACAGACACCCTGAATGCATGTAACACTTACACAGTGTGTACACACGTCAGTCTGTGAGTTATCAGCGCATGTAACAGCTGCACTCTGGGATTTTGGGGTTGTGGGTCCATTATGTAGAAAATCTGGGTATCTCTGTCTCCTGTGTTTTGCTTCCTGTCTCTCTGTGTCTTTATCTCATCCCGTCTTCGCTTGGCTAAACTCAAAGGAGATGATAAGATTATAATCAGCCTAACTACAGATTCCTGTTAGAGAAGTCGCTGAGTGAAGGATTTTCTATAACAAACAAATTACAGATTGTTGCCCTTACAAAGCCTTTACACAATTATCACACTTTCCCTGTTTCCCCTATTTGAGTCATTTGCCTGATTTTTTTGTAGCTAAACATTTTGGAAAATACGTTCATCAATATCAGTCTCATGTCTCAGAAAAGAAAGGGAAGCATAGCTCTCAAAATGTTGCACTATTCCTTTAACTTTTGCTTCCCTTGAGTGTTCACTGGCATCTTGAAGGCAGCTGCTATGGGAGGAATGAAACATTTCTTCTCAATTTTACAGGTTCATTTTATCAAATCTGGCCACAAGTGAGATTTATGAAGCATTAAATAAAATTCCGGCCAAAAAAGATAGACCGGAAAGATAAAAAATGAGGAAATGAAGCTGGACTTTTTTCTGTTGATCAGATTTTTCAAGGAATTGGTTACAGTACTTCTTAGAAGCAGTTTTAACCGACTACAGTGTATTTAGACGTCCGTTCTCTTCTGTGAATTTGGGCTTGCAAAACAGGAAGACTGCTGTTTTTTTCTACTCTTTTGCCCCTTCTGTTCTTTTATTCTTTACCACTGTTGAGCATCTTTGAAGACTTTGGTTATTTGCATTAGGGTCCTCATTGTTCGCCTGCTGCTGGCTGCATGGTGCCAACATTTTTTACAGCTTCAGGCTGAACAAAACCAGATCTTTTTTTTTGTTCTCACACATAAACTGGAGCAAGTCCCTTGATCACAGGCTGCCCACAGGGGACCTTCATGCATATTTCACAGCGGGGTTACACATTAAATGTACCCCTAATTATCAGGGACATTTCGTAGACTTATGGCGACAAGTCTAAATTATTTATTATTTATTTCCCTCACCTACGTGCAGTTATAAAAGATTTCCTGAAGTGCAGCATATCACCACAGGCTGCTATCATGTCAGTTCAGGGAGTAGAATCCAAGTTACATAATTGCACATTAAATCATGAAAATTTTCAGCAAGGCTATGACACTGTTGGAGACAAGAACGGCTCTACTTGTTCACACGTAAGCCAGCTGCAATGCCTGATATCTTAAGTCAGCATGACGATGTTAGGAAGATGAGGGTGGAAGAGTTAACACAAGTAGGCACCTGTAGATACAGAGCAGAGGGGTGGTTGGCCGGTTGCCAGTGATAGGGGTGTGGTTTCCTGCTATAATGGTTGCTATACATACCCCTCATACAAAATGATTACAGGTTACTGATACACACAGACACATGCACAACAGCCTGGTGCAGTATATTTAAATCTAGTTTTTTACAGTTTAATTTTGAATGCAGTAATTAAAGAGTAAAAGAGTATGAAGATGTAAGTAAAAAAAAAAATCAAATAAATAATGTAAATCAACAACAAACTGATGATTTTGTGTGCTGATGTATATGTTGAAGTTTAAAGGAGACATGATAGACTTTACCCATGATGCCTTGCTCCTTCACCACGCCTGATACAGCTTCTGTGGGTTGCGCTATCTATTGTCACACTTCCACGGGAAAGGGATCAAATGCTCCCACAGCTAGTTCACTCACTCTTTTCTCGGCTTGTGTATGCGTGTGAAATGATTGTGCCGATGAGTGAGTGCAAAATAAATGACAGTCCAAATGAGATTAGAGGTGAAAAAGAAAGAAAACAGCAGTGGCGTCAGAAGTGTATTGCCCTTCCTGTTTGTCTTCATGGAAAGTGCAAAAGTGTTTTTGGTGGAATCAGTGGAAACAGGGCATGTTGAAGGGAGTGGCAGTGATAAACTCCCTGTGGGTTGGAAAAATATGCCCGGACCGGAGCCCACCTGAGCCAAAATAGAAGACACTGCACCCCTCTGTTGCTCTTTTTTGTTTTTTTTATACCCGTCTGCCAGTTTCTCTTTTGTCTTTCTCTTTCAGGCTCTTATTTCTGGTCAGTCCACTTCCCTATTTTTGTCCATCGCTCTTTCTTTTCTATTTTCTGCTCTCTTTTTTTTTCCCTCTTCCTTTGTCTGCAGAGCCTCTGCCCCACCAGTATCTTATTACTCTAATCCAGTTTATGAAGCAGACTAACACATGCGCACACATTCTCATTCTATGCATACCTCGCCCTTTTTTTCTGGCTTTATTTTTTTGTTTGTTTCTTTTGTCAATGTTTCTCTCACACTCATGTGAAAGATGAATTTTTTTTTGTCCTTCATTTTGTCACATTGAGCTGTAGATGTGGTTTTAAAGTGTCTCTTGTCATCGCTCAAACTGTCAAACCTCTAAACAGCCTGAGTGCCTTATGCAAACACTGCACTGAGATCACATCTGGGATATGTAGTCCTTTTGTTGTGTGTTGTTGTAGTCATCAACTTTACCGTTCTCCCAGGAGAGATAGCATAGGGAGGTTACTAATCAGTTTTGATCTACTGTAAGCCACTTGTAGCAAGAAAATGAAATGGTAACACTTTTATTTTACTGTAACACCTTGGAAAAGGATTGGCCATATCAACTTTATGAGACAAGAGAATTTATTTTTTATGGCTCATATCTTTGGCAATAAAAAAAAGGGTTATTTAATATATGGAAACATTTTTGTTGAGCGCCTCAAATTCCTTCTGCTTCCACTTCCAAGGCCACTATTGTTAAGTAAAACGCTCCATTGAACTTCGGTCTCAGGTTAGATATTACAAAAACTAAAGCGATTTGGTGGCCTGATTTTCTAAGCTGATCCACATTTTCTCAGATCAACATTTGTCGGCCACAGGCCTTGATGGAGGAATTAGCCTACTTTGTAATCATTAGGTGGGCAAGCTAATGCACAATGGGCTTTTTGTCGCCATAAGCCAAGAGAGGCCTGTGGTCTTCTACTCCAAGGCGGCTAAAGTCAGATAGACATTGTTTGTGTAGCTCTGACCTGCACTGATCGAGCACCAGAGCTCAGCCAAGTTTCTTACATTCAATAAAAAGAAAGAAAGAAAGAAATCAGGCATTACAAATTTTAACAAAATTCAGTCAGTAGTGATTTACCATGACAATACATGGTAGAATACGTTTTTGCGCCCGGGTAGGTATAAAAAGTCCATAGATGTGATTCCATGTTGTGTAGGGCGGTGTTCCCAACCGTTTTTTCATCAGACATACCTCCACAGCCCTGTCAGATGAACTCAAGTACCCCTTCATTGATGCCACCAATCATGTTACAGATTTTTGTTTGTATTGATTTTAAACTGGATAGTTTTCTTGTAACTAATAATGATATGATAAAATATTAAATATTTTTTCATGCATTTAATGTGCCAGTGTTTAAGTCCTTTAGCTTAAGTTTCCATTAACTATTGCCTTGGAGAAGCTGGATTTTTTTTTTAACCATTTATCCATCCAAGCTTTCTGTTTCAATGATTTATCCATTGCGTCTGCTATTTCAAATATTTGCCTTAACTTGTAGTCAACTATTTTATTTGGTTATTCATTATTTTTAGCTAACCATTTCAACAACTTATCCATTACTTCATGCTAACCATTTCAACAGTATCAACAAGACCTACTTTTCACTGACTATTTCAATGATTTATCCATAATGTTTAGCTATTTTAACTATTTATGCATTAGTTTTAGCAAATTTCAAGTGGTAATGCTATAATTTATTAACTATTCAACCATTTATTCATCACTTCTTGCTAATTATTTGAACCTTTTTTCAATACTAATATAAGCTATTTCATTAGTCTATCCATTACCTTAAGCTTTGACCTATCAATTGTAAAAATGTATCCATTACCTTTAGCCTTTAGCTATCTATCAGAAGCATTTATCCATTACCTTTAGCTTTTAGTATCTGTTGAAACCATTTATCCATTACCTTAAGTTTTAACCTATCAATTGTAAAAATGTATCCATTAACTTTAGCCTTTAGCTATCTATCGGAAGCATTTATCCATTACCTTTAGCTTTTAGCTATCTTTAAGAACCAGTTATCAATTACCTTTAGTTTTTAGCTATCTATTAAAACTAGTTATCAATTACCTTTAGCTTTTAACTATCTATTAGAACCAGTTATCTATCATGTTTAGCGTATTGCTATCTATTGCAACCATTTATCCATTACCTTTAGCTTTTAGCTATCTTTAAGAACCAGTTATCAATTACCTTTAGTTTTTAGCTATCTATTTAAACTATTTATCAATTACCTTTAGCTTTTAGTCTTCTATTGGAACCATTTGTCCATTACCTGTAGCTTTTAGCTATCCATTGAAATCATTTATCCATTACTTTAAGCTTCTCACTGTCTTTTTCAAACAGTTATCGAAAGCTTTTAGCTAGCTGTTTCTCTTTGCCTTTTCTCTTCTTGTTTGCATGCTATTTTTCACACACCTATTTCACTTATTTTAGGTGTGATAGTTGACCCAGTATCTTGACATATTGTTTTTTTATTCAAATCAGAATTTCTATTTTTTGTCATGACCTTAGGTGCTCCATAATCTTTCCCTGACAACATCAAAAGTAAAAGTGTAATCTGTGGTGAAGAGGATTAGATACCTGGATCCTGTCATGCAAATGTTGATGAATGTTTTGTTTTATTTTTCAGCCAAACATTGGGCGTCTTGGCATCCCTCATGGGCCCTCAGGAGAAAAGGTGGCTGTGGTTGCTGTAGATGACTGTGACATCTCCATGGCGATTCGTTTCGGAAAGCAGATCGGCAACTACTCCTGCGCTGCCCAAGGCACCCAGACTGGACAGAAGAAGTAAGATAGGGCATTTCTATCTCTTTATCTCTCTAACTTATCTTTGTTTTCAAATCTTTACACTCATTATCTCCAGTTTATCCCACGCACACTACCAGTCAGACTAATGGGAAAGATGTTGTACCTTGGGGGGGGCTGCCAAATTACCTTCATTACAACAGATTACACAACTCTCATTCCACCATTATCTCCTTTTGTATTTAAACCTCTGTGTTCATCGTCGTGTCCTCTCTGCTGTCAGACACAGCCTCAGACACCCAAAAGCTCACCTCAACACAGTCTTCACCCGACTCACTGTTTACCGCACACACTAATGAATTTTTATTTTCGAAGCGTGAGACTTTTTTTAATGAGTCTTATGAGGAGCTAGCATGCTCAGACACATTTAGTTTGCAGAGGGTGGGGACAGGAGAGAGACAGCCAGCTTCAAAGAGCAGTTAACGAGGTTACATTCCTACAGGAACTTGTTGCACAGGTCACAGAGGCTCAGAGGCATTTAGAGGGTACTTTAACTGGAATACACAAATATTACATTATGCTGGTGTGTAATGTGGTGCAAACAAGCAAACGTCTTAAGATTTGTTGTGGATAATGTCTTGACATGATCCAGAGAGTGATTGAGGCACAGAATAGGAAGCACTTGGCTTTCATTGTGGGCAGTAACCTAATGTTAAACTTTCTTTAGCCATGATTAGCAACACTTCAATTTACACAAGCTTCATGAGCGACAGAATTGGATGGCATTTCAATTGTAGGTTAAAAGAGTACTTAAATATATGAACTAAAAGTTAAGTTTTTGACCACTACTGTTCTGATGGAGGGTAAACCTGAGAATTGCTTCTGAAGGAGAAACAATGAGTTTGTTTTTAAGACCACAACATCTTTTATGATTGTGCCTTTTTAAGAACTTTTAATAGAGTCCATTCACTTTGACTCATCACATGTATTAATGTACTTTTACACTTTTTGCAAGGCTCTACGATTCATGTTACAACTCAGCACAGGCTTCATACTCTATGTCTCTGCACAAATGTCCTCAAGACACCTCTCTCTGTATCACACTTGGAAATCAAGCAAAGTACAGATTCACTTCTCAAACCCACAATTTATGATCTGTATCTTCTGATAAATATCCATGTTGCCAAACTATTTATTTCATAAATTTAATTCTGTAATTTCATTTCTGGCTTTTGCTTAGAGGCTTGTCCCTACACAAACGATGCAAAAACCTCCTCTGTCGCAAAATATCTTTTGATGCATGGAATCAAAACTACATCAGTCAGAAACAAATCAGATTGCCTCAGTAGTATTAACACAAACATTTTTTTTATTGTTATTTTGAAGAAATACAGAAGTGTTGCTCTAAAACAAGATACAATAGATTCCTATTTGATTGATTTCCTTAAAGACGTCTTTAATACGTCTTACATGCTGTTGGCCATGAAACAATGTTTGTGCTGTATGATCACTACCTTCAACAGTTTAGCATTGCATTACATTAAGTCTCTTAAAGTCTTTTGGTGTTTGATGTTGAGTATTTTAAAGGCTCGGGGTGTAAGCAGCTTCCTTCATGACCCAGTATGTGGAACCTGACTTGGTCATGGTGATGGTAGCACTTGGCCTTGTGACAGCTTAAAACCATGAAGACTTACTGAAGAAATGTCAGTCATGCTAAGGGCTGATGCTTTACCTCAGTTGCCCTTTCTGTCTCCGATTTGTTTGTCACACATGAATAGAAATGAACAGTACTGAGCATTATATACCTATTTTATGATAAATGTTCGTAGTATTTTTTTGTAATATGTATTCGCAAACAGTTGAGTCTCTGTAGAGTTGAATTAGTGTTTGTATGTGTCCCCACCTGACTAAGTATTTTACATTGACACACACTGATTTTTCTTTCCATTTTGGATTTTCCTCTGATGTATTTTCTGTCTGGTCCATCTGCAGGTCACTGGATTTGACAGGCCCGCTGCTGCTAGGCGGAGTTCCCAACCTACCCGAGGACTTCCCGGTCAGGAACAGAGACTTTGTGGGCTGCATGAGAAACCTCAGCATCGACAGCAGACCCATCGACATGGCCAGCTACATCGCTAACAACGGCACCGAAGCAGGTCAGACATGATGTGTGGTAAACCAAGGCCATAGTTGCTCAGTAGAGTTACACCGCAGGGGTAGAGACATTACTTGTTTCCAGGACCAACACTGTAGCTGGTTAAATTGTAGGGAAAGATTAACTCCTAACTTTTAAGAATTTTTAAGGGACCAGAGGTCATGAAACTAGGACAACATATTAGGGCCATCGTAGGTTAAGAAAAAAAAAAGACAGAGCCGGGGGAGGGGGTAATGTTCCAAGAAAAAAACTCAGAATTTCTGAGTCTTAAATTTATGAAAACAAACAAACAAACAAAAATAAATCCTTGGGTTTTTTCTCAGATGAAAATGGTAATTTTATAAGAAAAACCTCTCGAGTTTACTAGTAAAAATGACTTGAAAATTGTCTGAGATTAAATTCACAAATTATGAGTAAAAAATTGTAAAATATTGGGGATTTTTTTGTTCTTTTATTTTTTTGTAAAGGAATGACATCCTTTTACTTCACTCCTTGCCAACACTGAGACAGTAAATGACTGTGGTTTGAATGCCCATTGAAGACATCACATAATAGCTCAAAAATAGTTCCAAAATAAAGTGTGCCAACATCCTGGACGTCACCTGGTTAACAGCTGGGCATCCTTCCTGGCAGACCTAGCAACGTCAAAATATGACGTTAAGACGACTATTAAGACTATTCAGCTGCTAAGTTTATACAAACAGAGTGCATTTAGCAGCTTTAGACAACTTAAAAACTTTCTCCTGGGTTGGGAGAAAGTGCTTGACTCATTCATCCACCATGACTTCCTCCCTACATTGACTTTGTCACTGTTTAAACTATGTCAGCTGACTTTCAGGCAGTAAGTGTGTGAGTTTTGTCTCTTAAATTTGCAAGTTTAGTCTTGGAAATTCTGAGTTTACACCCCTAACCTGGCTTAGTATTTTATATATTTTTTTACCTACCATGGCCCTTATATGCTGTTGTATGAAACAGCATTATTTAATGCTTAAAAAGAAAAGTATTCTAAAAGAAAATTGAGAAGCTTCAGTTTTGCTGCTTTTAAATAAATAGTTTCTATTCTATTCTTCCCTGAGCAGTGAGCTTACTGTAAGTTAGCATGTTTTAAAATGATTTATTTAGAACTTTTTTTTGTTTCTGCAGCTCAAAATTGGGCACATACATTGTACAAACAGATATTAATCATTCTTTTATGTGTTTGATGTCAAGGTTGTCCAGCAAAGACAAACTTTTGCACAAATGAGGTGTGTCAGAACGGAGGAGTGTGTGTCAGCAAGTGGAACACCTACAGCTGCGACTGCCCGACCGGTTACGGAGGCAAGAACTGTGAACAAGGTGAGAAGCAGAATCATCTCTCAAGGTGGGGTCAGAAAGTGTCAGTATTTATGAGTGTGTTTTTGCATTTAAATATGCATGCAGACACAGGCCAAATGTGCCCGTGTCTGCATGCTCCTCTGTGAACTTCTCAGCGTGCACATGTGCGTGGTTACGTCCTACATCAGTGCACAGCGTGTGTGTTTCTCGAGGACTTCCAGGAAATAGTGTGTGCTTGGGAGATCAAATGGGATAAGGAGCGCCTCCCCTGACTCAGTCTGACTCATGCAGCAGCCACTGTGGAGATTCACAGTGAAGCCTCCGCTCAGTATTGTGCAGACACTAAAGATAGCCTGGGGTCTGGAGTTTGAGGATAAGAACAAACTCTGGCTCACTTATCAAAACCCAGACAGAGGATGAAACAAAACACACACACTTTGACCCCACAGCTGTGTGTCTCTGTTGCCACCTCATGTTACTCTGGCGCAAACCTATATACAGCACATACAGATAGATATATGTAGAGGGGGGGATATAAATTTGATGTTATGTTTCTTTGTTAGCCAAAGAAATATAGAAGCATCCCAGCTTTTCAACAGTGTTGTTATTTACTCCACAACTTGTCTCATGTTCTTCTACGGTAAGGAGAGAACTTTGATTTCCTCCTTCAGGGCAAGCTTCCAAACAATGTGTGAAGATGTGAATACCTCTCCTTGCCCTATCCTCTATGAGGTAGCCGCCTCGCCAGTGCCAGGCCCATGTATCCAGTATCTGAACTGGGCTGGGATCACAGCAAGCTGGGAAGAGGTGTTGGCCGCTGCATTGCTTGTTGACACATTTGGTTTGAGGCTTCGCACACCTAGCTGCCACATGAGAAACAAGAGATTTGTTATCATGTGTTTTGCGCTGCCAAAATCATCCCGACTGGACAGACATGAAAAGACTCCACTGGAAGTCACCCACCTGGTCAGACTGTTATTTTCTCCCTTATAATTCTATCAGATCCCATTTCAATTGTACACACCATTTTTTAAAAGACAAGGAATGAGTTCTATCATGCTAATGTACAGCAGATCACAGTCAGACTAAATACACGCACACTGGAAAATACACACATGCTTCTACATGGGTGGCAGTAGCTTGTTGTGACAAGTGAATCTCAGGTTTAAATCTCTGAAGTGGTGTCGAACAAGCTGTTGCAGTATTTAAGGATTTGTTTATAGTCAACATACCCGAATTAATATGTTAATATGGCCTGCCAACCATTTCGTAATTCACAATGAAAATGAATTGATTCACGCTGGGAATCAAACAAAAAAAAAACAGGATTGAAATTTATGTTTGCTTTATTTTTAGGCCAATATCTACTCTGGACACACAGACAAAAGGATCACAATGTGCTCCTATGTAATTGTAAAAAAAAAAAAAAACTCTGACTTTGAATTAATTCATCAATTCATTAATTAATTACCTAATTAATTGTCCAGCAACATGGTCAGGTTAAAATTTCCTGCAAAATTAATAACATTTGTGCCAGCCACAGCAGTACTTTGTGTTTAGCGCTAATTAGCTATTGTTAGCGTGCTAACAGGCTAAAGTAATTGATAAACCCAGTAAATGTTACCTGCCAAACACCAAAATGTTAGCATTTTCACTGTGAGCATGTTAGCACACTGATGGAACATGCTAACGTGTTCACAGTTAGCTTAAAACACCTTTGCGTCGTGTAGTGTAGCCTCACAGAGCCACTGGCATGGCTGTAGACTCTGTCTGTTTTATTCTTTAGACCTGAGTCTTAATGAAGTTAATCAGAAATGAGGAGTGGCAGAATTTTTTGTAACTTTTTATATGACTAAGCTTTGGTAAAGTAGTCAGACTAAAGCCATTGTAGGAACAAATATGTGCTTTGTCTCATAATTACAGCTTGTGTATGTGTGTGTGTTTGTGAATGCTTCTGTTGAAATATGTGCCCTGGGGGACCGAGAACATACAGGGTTTATGCTGTAGATTATACAGGAGGAAACACTTTGTATGTTGTGCTGAAAGGTGGACCCTCTGTGTGTGTGGGGGTATGTACATCTGTGTGTGTGTGTGTGTGTGTGTGTGTGTGTGTGTGGATGTTTCTTGATCTCTCTCTCTCTCTCAACATCTACAGGAGCTTATATACTGTAGTACGTGTCATGTCTGTAGGACTTTACAAGGATTTTCTGAATGTCTCCAGACATTGAATGTTTGTTGAAGAATTACTGTGAAGTAATCCTGGAACATGAAGTAGTAATTGTGACTTATCATATTAAATGAAATGAAATGGAAAAAAGTGATTGTAACCAGCTGCATATCATGTTTCAGTACAGCAACCAAACTATTAATTCTGAAGTCACTCTGTACTTTGAAGTTTTATTGCTTTTATTTGAAAGTGATAGACTTTACATTAAAATGTAACTCTTCAGTATAATGACAGTTTAAAAAAATCAAATACTGGGAGCATTTGTCTCACCACTTTTCGCATAAACCTTGCATCATGTTATGATAACATTGATGCTCCTTGTTGTCTATCCTCATTGTTTTACTTTCTGTTTCACCGCACTGAGGAGGATAATTGTGTTGGGCATGGTTGCTCAATCGGCACTTTACTCATACAGAAACTCTGAAACCTTTAGCTTTGTTTGCGGCAGAGGGACACCTACATAAGTTTAAATGCAATGATTCAGCATCCCTTGTATTTAGGTAGGCTATGTAAGCTCATTAGGGTGTTACAGAATCCCACTGACCAATGATCTGTCATTCTTTGAGGGCAAGTAGCAGACATCCTGTTGACAACCTCTGCAGCCTTGTGCTCAATTCAAGCGGTGTGAGAATACCCTGAAATCTTAGCTCCCAAACATGTTTCTCACCTGATCCTTTTTTCTTTGCTCTTCAGTTATCCTCAAAATGCTAAAAACTAACCATGTTGTTCCTTTACTCTTCCTTGTGTCTTGTCCCTGTCCAGTTATGCCATCTCCTCAGTTCTTTGACGGCCAGGCGCTGGTCTCATGGAGCGATACGGACATTACCATCGCTGTTCCTTGGTACATGGGCCTCATGTTCCGCACCAGGCAGCCTGCTGGCACTCTGATGCAGGCCAATGCTGGACAATACTCCACCATCAACCTCATGGTGAGATGCAGCACATTGTTAATTTATTATCAACAAAAATGTCATCGTCATCAGTGTATAATGAAATTACCTGTAAATTAACTGTAGGTTGTGCCCCTGAAACTGCAGTCTTGTCATTGGATTTCTCAATCTTTCCCACCATCCAGGTGAGTGAGCAGCAGGTCTATATGGAGGTGTTGCTGAAGCAGCAGCTTGTGGCCTCACTGAGATTTTCCCAAGTTCGGGTCAATGACGGAGAGTGGCACCACCTGCTGGTAGAGCTGAGAAGCGTTAAAGACGGGAAGGACATTAAATACATGGTTTCTGTGTCCCTGGACTACGACATGTATCAGGTACGAGATAATTTCATCACAACTAAAAAAAAAGAAGTTTTTGAGTAAAAAAATCTCACTTTCAATTTCGTGTTTTCGAGCAGAAGTCGGTGGAGATTGGAAATGACCTCCCAGGATTGAAGCTGCAAACTCTTCATGTAGGAGGTCTGCCTGGAGACGACAACCATGTCAGCAGAGGATTTGTTGGCTGCATACAGGTATGTGCATTTTCAACCTTTCCTCAACCACTTAGCCACTTCGGTTTCCCCCTTCATCATTAATGTGTGCCCTCCATCAGGGTGTGCGTATGGGCGAGACGTCCACCAACGTGGCCAACGTAAACATGGCTCAGGGCCTGAAGATCCGCGTGGAAGACGGCTGCGACCTGGCTGATCCCTGCGACTCCAACATCTGCCCCGAGAACAGCCACTGCAGCGATGACTGGAGCACACACACCTGTATCTGTGACCCAGGTAATATAAACGTGCACAAACACATACACTCCAATTAAACTCTATAAAGTAAAGTTTTAGTGTCATTCCTCGCTATTTCCTCTGTGTCTTGTAGGTTACTTTGGTAAGGAGTGTGTGGATGCTTGCCAGCTCAACCCCTGTGAGCACGTTTCCACCTGCGTTCGCAAACCGAGTTCGTCACATGGCTATACCTGTGAATGTGGACAGAACCACTATGGCCAGTACTGTGAAAACAAGTAAGGTCCCCTCCCTCTCGGTTTATGTATCTATATGTATGTATATCCCCAGAGGACAGTTAACTTGAGTTGTGCTTTTACACTTGTGTTCAGTGAGGCCACATTTTTCAACATGTTGGATTTTCTGAAGCATCAATCAATATCTCAAAAGTGTTGAGCACTGTTCAGTCTGTAAAAGGGCTGTTGCACTGCTTTGCTAAACCTGGCTCGTAAAACGTCATCAACTAAGGCTAGCAAGCTTAGCAAACTTAGTGCCTCTCCTTATGTGTTGCATTAGACGTGAGACATGTGACCTTCCCTATCTGGGGGGAGTGTGTCTGGTTGACTCACCGCCAGGCCACTGCTTTTGCTTGTTGCGACTGGCTCACTTGGACCAGGTCGGCCAACCAGCTCTTCTTCGTAGTTGCTTGGAAGGAATGTGTATTTCCACGGATAATTTGCGGTGTCAAGTGCTTTCTCAGTCTCTTTTGTCTTCAGAATGTCTTGCCTCCGGCGTCTCCCTCGTGGTGTGCCCGCTCAGCTCAATGGCCTCTCCAAACCACACCCACGAGACATTTATTAAACTACCAATAAAGCTATCATAACAAGGGGGCTATCTGTGTTTGAGAAGCATTTATGTTACCCACAACCTGTCATTTGGAGAAACTCTGATTGCACCTTATTGTGCCATAAAGCAACAGAGGTACTGACGAAGTTGACCCAGTAGCACGTAGTGTAATATTCACACAATAGTTTTGGCGTCTGGTCTATTTTGTCTGTGAGCTGCGAGCAAATATTATATTATCCACATATTGTCAGTTGTGTGTAAACAGAGATTGAGAGAGACGAGGAGACACACAAACAGATCTCTATGTGTGATTAGAAAAGGGCAAAGGAGCAGAATCGCTTGTTGACCAACACAGAGAAATGCACTTCTAGTGTAAACAGCCAGGCTAGTGCTTGTGTGACAGTTGACATATCACAGCATGTTGTTCTCCAGTGTGAACCTGGCGTTAGAGGCTGATGTAGGCTCAGTCTCTCTATGATCTTGTCTGTTCTCCAGCTAATACAAACAATTCAAAAAGATGCACTTTCACAGATTGCATTTCTAGCTGCATTTCAGAGAGCGTTGCACGCCTAAAGCTCCCTCCAACACAGTCTTTTGTATCCAGATGTTAAAAATGAAGCAGACTAAAAATGGACTTTGCCTCCCACAGACACAAAGCGCACTAATCTCCCTCAGTTATGTTAGGCTCTTGCTCTTTCTGTAATGTTGCCAACGTCCTGAGTCTTTCAGAGCAGCTTTATTAGCCAGTAATCTGAGCTCGATAGTGTGTGTGTGTGTGTGTGTGTGTGTGAGGGAGAGAAAGAGGAAAGATCGGACATCAAAAAGAAATAATCAAACTGTTAGGTGAAACTGTAAAGTCGGTATATAGAAGCAGGAAGAGGTATGTTGGTTCTGCACTGTCAGCATTGTCTACAAGGGCACGTGAATTAGCCAGCCCCGATTGAGGAGCAGCCATTTCCCTCTGAACTCCGACCCCTATGACACGCCTCACGTCCCGTCCTAAGCAGGATGTGGGATTCCCCCTCCACGCCTGACTGATCCCCCATAGGCGTTTAGTCACCACTGCCCTCATGCTGCCGCTCGTCCCCTATCAGATCACAGCGCTCAGGCGGAGATTGCATCTCTTGAGCGAGAAAGGGAGTCTGTGTGGGTTTGAATAAGTGAGTCACACCTGATTCACCGACTTGAAAGCGTGGAGGAAGTTTATTCTAGATTCAAGGCGACAAGGAGTGTTTTGTTGGAGATAAACTTAACATATAGGCAACTATCAGATTTGTAGTATATTGTTTTAGCTGCTATCATGTCAGTAACCTTTCAAAATGTGATCAACCATCACTTTGCTTTGTGTGATGCTGCACTTTTATTTGTTTCCATAAGAACTGGAGCTGTTACACGTGCACTGGTCCTTTTAAATGTCTGAGCTTTAAACTCATATTAACTGATTTTTTCGGCTTCTTATACATCGTTGCCGTCTCATTTGATACATTGTTATTATAAAAACATAATCATATGTGCTTTAATTAATACGTCATTGTCTTTGATGACAGAGTGGAGAAGCCGTGCCCTCAAGGATGGTGGGGCAGTCCCGTGTGTGGACCCTGTAACTGTGATACGAGCAGGGGATTTCATAAAGACTGCAACAAGACCACTGGAGAGTGTCGCTGCAAGGTAAGAACATACATTACTTAACATTTCCAAAATTGATAGGAAATATGAAAGTATTTATTTGTTTGTTGTTATTTCTTGTGACCACAGTGGCCAGAAACAAGGACACAGACTCACTTTAAAATGACTTTAAAGGTGCATGAATACCACACCTAAATATCTAAATTTAAATACAATTTTATTTATCTATGTCTTCTCCTCCTCCTGCAGGAAAACCACTTTCGACCAGAAGGTGAGGACACTTGCTACCCCTGCGAGTGTTTCTCTGTTGGCTCCGAGTCTCGAACCTGCGACGCCATCACTGGGCAGTGCCCTTGTAAAGGAGGAGTCATCGGCCGTCAGTGTAACCGCTGTGATAACCCCTACGCTGAGGTCACTCCTACTGGATGCGAAGGTATAACAGCATCTTGATCTTTCCTGATTTATGTGATGTTTTTTTCTAGTGGCAGATTGTAATATTACGGAAAAAAAAAACCTCAGAAAATTGAGAGACGAAAGTTTTAAACAATAGTTCTGAAGCTTGAAAAAAGGAGTGAAAAAATATTTTATAATTTTTCTACATATTTACTAATAGCAGTAATAAATTAGTCCTGGAAAAGAGCTAATTTTTCCATACATTTAATAGACTAATTCACTCATATCCAAACTAACAATAAAGTCCTGTCAAAGACAAGTGAAACTCGCCTCAATAAAAAAATAGTTTGAAGTGTTCATGACAAGGACAGCAATGAAAAACAAACTCAGAAGTTGGGTGTATTATTCCTTTAAACATTCAGTTTCACAGAGTGATCCCGGATGAATCGATGAAGTGTCAAAAGGAGACAAATATTGTTGCTCACATCTGCTGGTGCTGCAGTTGAGCTAACTGCACGTCTTTGTCGACACCCAGTCAAGCAGAAGAGGCAAGTCTGGCTGCTGAGCGGACTTGGCAGTGGGACTGCACACGCACAATACAGTAGAGATGAATAGATGACAAAACCACAAAGTCCCATGAACAGAACATGAATGTCAATGTGTTCACTGTTTGACCCAATGAGACGCTCTTCAAAGTCTCAGAATGTGTTTGGACTGTTAATGGAGCTCTAGATGACAAGATGGTTCCCAATCCTGTGTTGTTAATTTTTAATTAAGAGGATTTGAGACGTTTTTTCCACACAGAAACGATCAAATAAATTCTGATGCAGGGAGTGTGGGAGACAAGTTGGAGGAATGAAACAAGCAAGAGGTTTCTTTAGTTATGTCCTTCAGGTCACTGAGATGTGACCATCCATGGCAGGCCTCATACCGATCTGTCAGCTGTGCGCCAAACACAGCGGTCGATGTCACCACGGCCTTTAGTCATGACAGAACGTCTTGTGTTTTTGTTGAAGCGATCCTTAAAGAAAGGGCAAGTATGATCTAAAAACAAAAAATACTATCAAAATAAAAGTCTTATCCTGGTTATGAAGTCTGTCGTAGTAGCACGTAAGAGTAAATGAAATGCTGAGAGATTAGAAGCCGTGTGCAACTGAACTGAGCCACAAACAAGCCAACAAGTCTGCAGGTCCCAGCTTGGTTTGTCCTGGAGATCTATTAACCAAGAATTGCTGGAATAAATGATGTCTCATGGCTTGTGAAATTGCTCTGCAGGCTCAATTTATGTCACTGTGCTGGTCTGTCTGGCTGTTTCATAAGGTGAAACATTTACCTATAAACGTTCAGGTGGTCCAGCTTCAGTTTATGATGCACTTCTTCAAGAGATAATTTAAGTGACCAATTTTTGGGTTCCAACACCTGCCTGACACACAAAAGCCAGCCTCAGGTTTTAAACCATACTCACATGTAACCCTTCTTTTGTTGTTTGCCTTTTCTCCACAGTGGTGTACGAGGGCTGTCCCAAGGCATTTGATGCAGGCATCTGGTGGCCAAAGACCAAATTTGGACGCCCTGCTGCCATGAACTGTCCCAAAGGATCAGTTGGTGAGTGCTTCTAAATCCCTCTGATGACAAAAGCAAAGTGGAGAAATAAATGAGCTCTGGATGGAGTCAAAACAGTGTGTGGTCCGTCTAGTTGCAGGTCACTGCTTGTAAAGTTTTATCATACGATTCTGGGTAAATTTGGGGAAAAATGTGTTGACGGTCTAGTTCCACATTTTATTACCTTCAGAGAGAGGCAGGCTAATTGTTCCCACTTTTTCGGTTAGTGTGTCAGCATGGGTTTTCTCAGGGTACTCCGGCTTCCTCCCACCAGCCTGCATTGGCTCATGTGTTTGACCAATGAACTTACACTTACATCTGGATCAACTGGGGTACACTTTCGAAAAAAGAAATACACCATCTTAGTCGGAAAGTTAAATTTATACACAATAAAACGCACCCTTGTTACATAAAATACACTCAGGAGTTTGGCCCCTACAGTGTGACTTGGTCTGGTATGGCCGTTTTTGGAAGCTAAGGTTTACTCTGAAAATCCCTCTTTTACTCTGAAAATGGAGCTAAAAAGTCCCTCGAAAATGTGGCCTAAGAACTATGACTGTTCCTAGTTCTTGCTTTGTCGACAGAATATAAAAGGGGGGTTCTCATGTTTTTAGAACTGCGGAAAAAGTTCCCCAGTCTCGCTTTCAAAAAGAACACCCGCCAGTCTCTCTGCCAACAGATTCACAGTTATTGAGCAACAGCAGTCAGATTAAGCTGCATGGGTGGCTATGTGTTTGTGTGTTAATGTATTTTAAGACATATAAGCACACACACTCTCTATGAAGCTTAAAAACACAGCCATAAGGCTCTCTGATTGGTCTGTTAATCCAGCATAGTTTTCTCATCAGCCAATCGTGTACAGGTTTGTCTGTAGAGACTTTTGGAAAAACACCAGGTACACTAAGCGCTGACGGTAATACCCCTCCTCCTCCTCCTCCTCCAGCTGTGTGTGTGTATATGAGAGAAGGAGGGAGACAGTGGATGTGAACTCAAGACTCCAGTTCACTGACCTGCCCCTCAGTAAAGCACTGTCACTTTCCTGGTTACCCCCGTGGTTACTGCCGTCACCATGGCAACCCCATTATTGTCTCCCCAGACTCATTTGGGAACTTATTTGCTAACACCGCTCGTCGCCATCTCTCAGCTCCAACTGGCACCTCCTTCAGCCATTTCTTCTTCCTTTGCAACAATAGCATTTGAAGACACTTTGCATTTGGATGAAGTCTTTTCTCAAACTGAATCAGACTGGAACAAGTCAGTATTGTATGGTTTCAGATATTTAATCCACTAAGACACGATGGATTTTACATTTTAGAGCAGTCAGGATCTTATTTTGCCTGACTTCTAGGTTTTTAGGACCTCTAAATAGAAATAGAGATTGAATAGATTTTTTTTTAAACTCTGAAAAATGTAGCTGCTAGATCCTTTTATCATTTTTAGCCCTGAGTATTGTCTTTAAGTATTCCATTCTGGCTACATACAGCTGGAACATCCTTAGCCAATTATGTCTCTGAAATCGCATACTATGCACTACACACCCAATATGAGTGCAGCCATGTACTTGTGCCAGCCTCAGCTATATCGGCAATTACAAAATGTTCTTACATACTTTAACTTAAACTGAAGTGTTACTGACAGTCTTTCTTTACTCAGGATCCCCATCAGTTGTTACTACAGTGACGACTACTCTTCCTCGGGTCCACATAACATGACATAACAGAGCAGTCTTGGTCGTTCTCTGTTATTAACATTGCCCTCTACTGAATTACCTTTTGGGATATTTATGCAGTGTCCAGTGATTGCATACTGTAATATTTCACACTAAATAGTATGAAATTCACGTACTGTTGGTTTCATACTAAGGTTTCGGACACTAAAAAATCTGATAACACTTGAAGGTATCTACATAAGGGTGACATGACACTGTCATGAAGTTGTCATAAACATTATGTACATGTCATAAACGTTTATGACTGCTGTCACAAAGTGTCATTCGGTTTCTGTAATGACATTGACATTGTTTGGGTTGTCTTGATTATGACAACTTGACATTAATCAAAGTGACATTATCAGAAGTTGTCTTTGTCATGACAAGTTGACATTAAATTTGTTTGGGATGTCGTTATTATGACAACTTGACATTAACCAGGATGACATTACCAGAAGACGTCTTTGTATCAGTCATCATGTCACCTTGTCATAAACACAAAAAGAGGTGCATTTCTTGTTAATGTCAAGTTGTTATGACAAAGACGTCTTCTGGTAATGTCATCCTGGTTAATGTCAAGTTGTCATTATAACGACATCCCAAACAAATTTAATGTCAACTTGTCATTACAAAGACAACTTCTGGTAATGTCACTTTGTTTAATGTCAAGTTGTCGTAATCAAGACAACCCAGACAATGTCAACTACATCTACTGCTACTACTACGTCATTACAAAAACCGAATGACACTTAGTGACAGCAGTCATAAACGTTTATGACATGTACATAATGTTCATGACAGGTTCATGACAGTGTCATGTCATCCTTATGTAGATACCTTCAAGTAAATTGTTACCAAAAATCTCACATATGGTTTAAGCATGCTAAATAACTTGTTAGTATAGAATTGGGACGCAGCCCCATAAGGTAGGGCAGCCTGTATACAGCCTGAGAGGGTAAACCTGGGGCAAAAAAAATCACAATATCTTTCTGATATTGGTACAAAGAGTTGTTTTATTGTGCCTATAAGTCACCAAAATATGTTCAGATATCTGTGAAAGTTGCCAGACACGTAATTTAAGTTTCTGTATACTTACAGGTACTGCCATCCGCCACTGTAACGAAAAGGGCTGGTTGTTGCCTGAGCTCTTCAACTGCACCACCGCCACCTTCTCCCATCTGAAGAAAATGGTGAGTACAAGTACAATGTTTTATCGATTCTTTGGGTAGCAATTTGATATCTGCCGATATCACAAAGTGTGCCATGATGCAATTTCCATTCGATTTAATACAAGGGCCTCGTTGTCTTTTTCTTGGCTGCTCACTATTGTCTGCCTGGTGCTTGGCTTCTAGCACTGTTTGATTGTTTAGGAAGGAGGTGTGCTTGTATGGACATGGTAACACATACATGCCATGGTCATTTCAAATATGAAAGTGCATCTTAAGGTGGACGATATGTATCCAGGTTTTCACCTTGCATCCATAATATTTGCTCGTAGATCATTTTTAAGGTTTGACTTGAATCAAAGGAGTAAATATGTGTTACACCTAAAACACTTTGGTTACATTACATAGATGATTTTGAAGCTAAAGCTCTTTTTTAAAGTAATATTTGACATGTTTTTAATTCCTCACCAGTGCTATTTTAAATCTGAAGCTTTCATCAGACTGTTGTGACCTTGTGATGGAGAGTACACTGCATTCGTCTTTCTTAGCCATAGCCATAATGATTATTGGCAGTTATTTTTAAAATACTGTGTCGTCAGGGAACTGATGAGTCACCAAAGTGTAATTTCAGAGGATGAAGTTGAGGAGAGATTTAAACAAGTATTGCACCTATTGTGTTTGAACCTGAACCTAATACTCGAGGCGTGAACCTCTACAAAGCCGCACTAATCCCGGGATTGACCAATTTCTATTATGTTTCATCGCGCCCACTCAGCTTGGCTTTGCCTTGACCTGCTTGTTTTCTTTCCGTCCCTCAACCCTCCATTCCTCCAGAATGAGGACCTGCGGCGCAACAGTTCAAGGATGGACAGTGAGCGCTCCAAGACCATTGTGCGTATGCTTCATAGTGCCACCAACAACACGGAGCATTACTACGGCAACGACGTGAAAACGGCCGCCCAGCTGCTGAATCACGTGCTGCAGTACGAGAGCCGGCAGGCGGGGTTCGACCTCACCGCCATGAGGGACTCAGAGTTCAATGAGGTAGAGGAGAAAACTAACAGGATGTACAGATCAGCTCTTAGAAAATTATAAGAAAAGATCTTAAGACTTTAATTTAGTGAAGCTAGTCTATAGTACTGGGAGCACTGGGGGCACACTGCCCTCCACTGGTTCATTCTTACTGGGAGAGCAACTTGATCCATCACTGTAGTAATCCAATACTTAAACCATTGCTATACTACTGCTCTCACTGATGATGCATTTACGACATTTATTCTAAAATCATATACCATGAAATGTTTCAGTCTTAATTTTGTATTTTTCCAGAACCTGGTGCGAGCAGGTAGCGCCATCCTAGATCCTGACACCAAGGAGCACTGGGATCAGATCCAGAAGACTGAAGGTGGCACCGCCCATCTGCTCCGCAACTTCGAGGAGTATGCCAACACCCTGGCACAGAACGTCAGGAAAACCTACCTGAAACCCTTCACCATCGTCACTGACAACATGAGTGAGTGGACAATCTGTGATCACACTGTGTGTAACTAGGACACATGATCACATATGAGTCGCTGTCTACACTCTTACAGATAGTTTGGAAAACTGAGGGGACAAGGACTGAGATATCATCCTCATTATTTGCTTCTGTCTCCCTAGTTCTAACCGTGGACTACCTGGATGTGTCGGACCCGGAGAGGGCGACGTTGCCTCGGTTCCAGGACATCGACGAGGCTTACTCAAGAGAGCTTGGGTCCTCCGTCCACTTCCCCCAGTTCAACCTCCACACTCAGGGCCACAAAGGTAGGAACACTGGCAGAATCTCCCCATTTGTTCCTTTCTATGCTGCAAGAGTTTAAAATGTGTGACAATACACAACTCCAGTCTAAGTCTGTCAATTTTATCTCTTATCCCCTCCCAGCAAAGCCCACCCCTGCCCCTCCGACTCAGACGGATGCCCCACAGGAGGAGGAGGAGCACACTGTGTCCGATAGGAGACGGCGCCATCTTGAGCCAGCCGCCCCTCTGCCAGTTGCTGTGGTGATAGTGTATAAATCACTGGGGAAGCTCCTCCCGGAGAGATACGACCCTGACCGCAGGAGTCTGAGGTAGACAGTTAAACTTAAAGAACTTTCTCAGGCACTTGGCGAGAATTAAATTATGACGTTGCACACCAGGCCTGAAAGGATGGAAAAAAGAGCCCACACACCATCTAAACTGTTGTCACCAGTGTGTATACAATTCTTCATATTCTGTAAATGTTAGAAGAAACCTTGCGTCACATGAAAATTTTTCATCTTTACTGTTAATACATGTCATAATATTTATTATAGGTGTGTTTGAAGTAACCACCTTATCGGTGCCTGCATAGGTCTGTAAGATTCTGCATAGTAACTGAGTCAGGGAGTGGTATGTTTCGAAGATAAGATAAGAACTTAACAAAAGTATAAAAAGAAATATGACCAAATGTAAATAAGGTTTGGGACTGTTATGGTATCATCTACTGTACATGAGCCATAAAAAGTAACTGAAAACTGTAGGTCAGTGATTCAAATACAGTCTAATGGTGTTTTCTTGCATCTCTCCAGGATCCCCAACCGTCCAGTGATCAACACAGCCATCGTGAGCGCCACGGTGCACAGTGAGGGTCCACCCCTTCCTCCCGTCCTGGATCCCCCCATCACCTTGGAGTACACCATGCTGGAGACGGAGGAGAGAACCAAACCTGTGTGCGTCTTCTGGAATCACTCCATCGCGTGAGTTGGACTTCGCACACACACAAATGCATGCCCAAGGGTATCAGGATCCAGAGTAACGTGTGCAGATACAAAACAGCATTTATGATGTCTTTATTTTTTCGTTTCATCTGTTGTGTGTGTGTGTGTTTAGGGTCGGAGGTACGGGCGGCTGGTCTGCTAAAGGCTGTGAGGTGCTCAACAGGAACAACAGCCACATTAGCTGTCAGTGTAACCACATGACCAGTTTCGCTGTGCTCATGGACATCTCCAAGCGAGAGGTATCACAGAAAAGTTGTGAAACATCCAACTGATCTTGCTATATTCTGCCACTTGCCTTGTTATTGACTCCTGACTTGATGTCTCTACAGCATGGTGATGTTCTCCCCCTGAAGATCGTCACCTACACCACGGTGTCAGTCTCCCTGTTCCTCCTCCTCATCACCTTCATCTTGCTGTGCCTCTTGCGCCGGCTCCGCTCCAACCTCCACGCCATCCACCGGAACCTGGTAGCAGCGCTCTTCTTCTCTGAGCTCGTCTTCCTGCTCGGCATCAACCAGACTGACAACCCGGTGAGTGTATTTTTTTAGCCCTCAGAAAATACAGAGCATGTACAGTGGAGACATTTTGCTGTGTATCTGCAGTGTTTTCTCATTGTTTAATGCCGTGGTTTCTAACATACCCCCACAGTCCTGTCAACTCAAGTAGCCCTTTATTGACCTGCCATGCTACGAATGTGTTCTTTTGTAGCCAACCTAATACTTTAAGTGAACTATTTTAAGTAACAAACGTACCTGTTGTTAACCAAAACTATTATCTTTTTTTTCCAAAATCTAACCACGTACGAAACTGCCTCCGCTGAAAACTGATAATGGTCATTTAATGGGCTGATGAGGGCTTTCTGAACCTACTGGTAGGTGTAGCGGGACTCTATCATCTCGACCTTTTTTAATGGTCTCCCACGTAAGGCTATGCGATCATCAGAAGAATGTCCACTATCACGACTGCCGACGACACAGAATGCTTCTTCAAGCACCTCCATCATCGATAAAATGCGGAAAACTAGTTGTAAATGTGAAAAAATGGTTGTAGACAGGACGAGACAAAATAATTACATACATTTTTTACAGACGATCGCGTTCGCACGGGATTAATATTACCCTAGGTATTTTCTCCGGACTGTTTTACAGAAGGTAAAAGTCGCCGTAATTTTCCTGACATTATCCGTAATGATTACGGACATGGCGCGTTCGGACGGGACTAAAATCCCTGGTAATAATTACTTTACCTCATGTCTCCATGTTAGACTAATCCCGTCCGAATAGGGCTTTAGACGTGCGTTAGCCAGGTCAGGAATCTGATTGCAAGCCATCTCAGTTTTACGTGTCTACATGCAAATCAGGCCCGTTCAGTACCTGGAACTAATTGGTAACTGCCACAAACGCCAGACGATTAATAACTTATGCATATCAGCAGGTTAGTTACAACAATAACACTTTATATAGTTAGCTATAAACTGTCCATGAAAGTGTTCATCTATTAGGTTTAGCTATTTTACTGATTATAATCACTTTTAGCTAACTATTTCAGCAGTTAATAACAGTTTCGACTGTTTATCTTACTTTCAGTTTGCATCAGCAAAATAATCTACAGACCACTCTGTGCATTTGCAAGATAGTTTTATGCAACATAGTGTTCTATTAAGTATAATTTGAGTTGAGCCCCTCCATAGCCTTTCCATGTCCCCCTGATAATTTCAGATTTAAACTCTGGGGTACAAGCTCCTTTGCCAGGGTATCACTGGTTTAAGAGATTTCACAGCCATTAAAAGTGTATGTTGGTGATTGAACAGCTGTTGCTGGCTTGTAACGCTTGTGACATTTGGACAGGAAGTCACCCAAGCCAAGTCTTTACATTACAGAAATATTTCTTGTTCAAATGGGCTCATGCTGCATCATCATAAATCAGGAGGAGAGGGGAACATAGTTGATATCCTCAGGATTTAAATGGAAAACAATGCGCATGATACAGGGACACACCAGGTGTACTTCTCCTATGCTTGTGGCACGGTGGAACTTGAGATGGGATAAGGTCGTCTCTCACCGGTGTTTACTGTATTAAAAACTGCCGAGCATCGTACAACATTTGTTCTGCCTGCGGGCTGCCATCTAACGTGGTGTTGACAGGGGCTTTATCGGGTTTAAGGGGCCAAGGCCCTCCTGAGACCGTCTTTATTCGACAGATTATGTGTTTTGATGCTCGACTAATGACTGTCATAGTCAGGAATGTGCTGGTTGCCAGGCCCCCTCCAAATATAACCTCCTGCAAGTTTATTGTATTACTGGATGTAACTTTGTTACTGTAAAGCTCTCTAATGAAAAAGGTGTAATATATATCCTGAGATAGCACAAGAGTCAGAAATCTAATGAGCTGATTATGTTTAATTAATAATCTAGTTTGGAGTTGGGTAGGTCACAGTTATAGCCGTGCATGTGCACATGCATTGACATACTGTAAAGGATCAAAAGGAATTCTTTGAAGTCTGCTGACACAGACATTCGGACTCACACACACACACACATGCACGCGCACACACACACACACACACACACACATACACACACACACACCTTTGTGTGCCAGTAGCGGAGACATGCTGTGACTGGTACCTGTCTCCAGAAGCAGGCCTGAGGGTGGTAGGCACTGGCAAAGGTTTCCCAAAACAACTTCTTAGTTTTCACTTGATAAATCTCTCGCATGTCTGTGGTACAGAAAACATCATTAATCTGTTAATTGACGGGTAATCCTGCGTGAGGCTTCTTAATCTGAGACATTTGGTAGGCTTTGGTGAAACACAAAGACAGATTTAAACAGTGGACGAACAACATGCTGAGTTTAGACAAGCATACTGGATGACGTTGATTTACCTGCACGGTTCTTGCACTTCTTGGGGTTGTGCCGAGATGGCTGAAAGTTGATTTGGATAAAAGCATCAGCAAAATAAAATGTTGTGTAGTTCTAAATTTTAAAAAGTCTGAACATGTGACAAGTAGTTTTTTAAAACCTGAAAGTGACATGAATGCCTCAACAATTAATATTAATTCATCATTGTCTTTCTAATCCATCAGATTTTCTTATTTGCCAGCACTTTGTTTGATCCATACTGAGGTTTTTAACCCTCCCTATATATGTGTCCAGGTTCAAGTCTTCAAAACAGTAGTAAAAGTGGAGAAGAGTCCCCAAACCTGCTCAGTAATGTCCATTATAGAACAATATCAAGCTAAAGTTGGCTAACATTAGCTATCATTCAACAACCAAAAACCCCTGGACATTCAAGACTAAGTAAGGCTCTAGCAGCAAAACTGCTGACTATATCAATCGAGCAGTGGTGCGTTTTATTGCTCATGAGTTTACCTTTTCATTTGTGAGGAAGACTATTATTTCCTCTTTGAAAAGTTATATACTGTTGCTTTAAAATGAATGTGTCACATCTGACTAGTCTGGCTAAACCAGCTGTCTGCAGTCTAACACAAGACGTCACAAGATCAACGGGCCCAACTGTCAGTCCCAACGCGGTGGTGAGTGGTAACTGCCAACCACCAGCAGTCAATCAGATGTTAAACATTTTGGCTCAATGGAAAGTAACCAGAGTTTAAAGTCAAGTCATTTCGGGACGGGTTGCATAGCTATTTATCACAAACAATCTTTGAGTGGGTCTTAGCAAAAAACAGTGGGTCTTAGCAAACAGTGGGTCTTAGCAAAAAACAGTTAACACATCATCCCATCAAAAAACTGATACTGAACTGACTTAAACCAACTCTTGAACCCTTGAACAAAATCTTCCTAACAATGCCCTCCACATCTGGATAAACCAGAAGTTTTTATAACTGAAAAGCTTCCAAATATAAAAGCAAAGGGGCCCAATAACCAGCCATGTTGGATAAAAGATTAGGGGCATGAAAGTTTTCAAGTTCAAGATAATTTGTGGGAGTCCTGTCTTCTTGTAGAAATGTTCTGACTCACAGTGTTTTGACTGGGATGGGGGGGGATATGAGCTCTGACTAACAACACGCTGCCTTATCTGCCACTATAACACTTTTTTTTAAAGAAGAAACCTGCACAGCGATTAAAAAATATAATGAGTTCAATATAGTAATGTAGCTTGTGTTTTTTCCATCTCTGAATTCATAAGTGCAGTTAGTGTGCGTGCATGTCTTCTATCTAGTGCTTAGGTGTGCATCAGTATGTGTGTGTCTCAACTGTGGAATGCTGTCAGTGTGCACCCAGGGCCATCTGCAGGATGATTTATTACCCTGTCAAAGTAGTCTCTCTCTCCTGCTCTCTGATCTCCACGGCGATACACAGCATTACTAAAATACAGTAACTCAACTGCTGGGACATTCCCTGACACATTGCATTCCTCCGGTAAAGCTGCAGACATGGAAATAGTGAGGGAAGGAGGTTACAGTGTGGCTGCAGGTCGACTCATTACTGTCTTACATAAATTGACGAAGTTTGTCATTAAAAACAGTTTGAGTAGGGGCGCTAATATTGCTGTTAATCACTTTTTTTGTCAATAAAATGGTGTAAATTTGTCAAAAATGTACGTCACAATTTCCATGAGATTGACAAGACATCCTCAGATTGCTTGTTTTGTCCAACCAACAGTCCAATATCTACACACATTTAATTTACGATGATATAAAACCTAGAAAAACAGCATATACTTACATTTAAGAGGCTGGAACGTAGCTTTTGGTTGGATTTTTTGTCATTTTCAAGACCTTTATTTGTCCCAGAGGGGCCACAGTAGCAATAAATAAGTTAAAAAAAAGACAACATGAGGCTGGACATACAAGATAGTAACCACACGTACATAAATGCATAAATAAAGGAGTGAAAAAGTGAACATATGAAGTAAAAAAGTTACAATATTAGTCAAGGAAAAGAACAAAAAAGGCAAAACTGGCATGGTTGGTGACGTGCTGATGCTACCTGTGCTTTACAGAGTTGAGTGGTAAAATGGCTGACGGTATGAAAGACAATTTATATGTGTTAGTTTTGACTGATGGTTGTCTGAGGCGGGAACCAGAGGGCAAAATCGAAGAGCAGGGAGTGGGTACTGTCAGATATGATCGATTCCCCTTTCTCTAACATCTGCTGTTGCACAGTTCAGAAAAGCAACTAATAAATGATTAATAAATGAATCCCTTAAAATGTAGACTCATTTATTTCCCTTGTTTCTGTCTCTCTCTGTGTTTTATCTCTCTTCAGTTCGTGTGCACGGTGATAGCCATCCTCCTCCACTACTTCTACATGTGCACCTTTGCCTGGATGTTCGTGGAGGGGCTGCACATCTACCGCATGCTGACAGAGCTGCGCAACATCAACCACGGCCACATGAGGTTCTACTATGCCATGGGCTGGGGCATACCAGCTATTATCACCGGTGAGACTCACACACACACACACATGGAAGCAGAGCAGTGGAAGATGGCAGATTGTCAGGGTGCATTCATGCTGCGACTCGTCTCGTCTGAAGACGCTGTGATCCTCGTGAGAAAACGATTGAACGAGAGACAGAGGAGGAAAGTTAGGGGGGAAAACCTCAGAGGCGGATGTTATGTGGATGTCCCCAAAATGTCAAATGAAGACAAAAACAGTAGCGTAACAGTAGCGGTGAAGAAGTGTGTGTGTTGCTGGGGATATTCATCTTGACATGCTGCAAACTCATAAATAATTTGTTGATTTGTTTTTATCACCATTTTTTATCGTCTCTCTTCATATAACTGCATCATAAAATTTCAACCATCCACTACCTCCAATTAGCACCACCTTTTTAAGCCTGCCATTTACCGCCTACTTCACTATACAACCCTTTGATGTATGATGAGATTACAGTAATATATTAAAAGCTATGCGATGTGCTGACATGTTTTGGCACCATCGGATGCCAGCAAAGCTTCCTCAAGTGGAATCTGTATTGGGACGGAGTGTGAGAGACGTATAGAGTTGCAGAGTAAAACATACAGAGATCCAAAGATGACAAACAGAGAAGGAACGAGGATGACAAATGACAGTGATGAGTGACTCAGGTGAGAGCGGGGAAACTGAAATGCAGTTGGTGGGAAATTTTGGGTGTCTGCTTGCATTTTGGCACACCCTCAGAAAGTGGAAGGGAGGAGGAGAGGTATGACAAGGGAAGGAGGAAGAAACAAGGCATAGAGACAGTTGTAACATTCTTTACTCTGATTTTTGTTTTTAATTTCTTGCTTTCGCTCTATGTGTGTGTGCGTGTAGGTTTGGCAGTCGGTCTTGACCCTCAAGGTTATGGGAACCCAGATTTCTGCTGGCTTTCTGTCCATGACACACTCATCTGGAGCTTCGCAGGACCCATCTTTGTAGTCGTTCTGGTACGTGCATGACTTAAAATGATCCCAGGATATACTGGTTCTTGTTGTCCGTCTAGATCTTGAATATATAGTTGTAGATTATGAGGCATATCAAAATAAAGTACCAAAAATAGTCCTGTTAACTGTCAGATATACAAGAATGAAGTGTTGTGTTCACAAACCCTCTTCCTCCCTCTCTAAAGGTGAACATAGTGATCTTTATTCTGGCTGCGAAGGCTTCATGTGGTCGCAGGCAGAAGGCTATGGAGAAATCAGGAGCCATGTAAGTCACATTCATAACAGCAACACAATGATTTGAGTTCAAGGTCTACAAGTGCACGTCACACACTGAGCGAGCCGCCTGTTAATCCCGCTGTCAGCAAAGCAGTAACGATTGTGCTAAGTGGCTAATTGGCATGTAGATACTGACATGTTTCAGAAGATAAGTCATGTTTGTAGTCGACCAATGAAGATGAGTTTACATATCACCTTGGGTCCGTCCTTCACCTTCTCAAAATGATCCCACACTGTGTCCGTCTTCCCTTCTCAGTCCTGCTCTTCGGATGGCCTTCCTGCTTCTGCTACTCATCTGCGCTACCTGGATGCTCGGTCTGATGGCGGTCAACAATGACGTAATGACCTTCCACTACCTGTTCGCTGTCTTCAGCTGCCTGCAGGTAATGGCGACTGACTAAACTGTCGTAGACCAGATTTTATCTGATAATCATCATCATCAATGCTTTCTCAATCTCCTGTTTATAATGCATCTCTTTGGTGTTCATCACAGGGAGTCTGCATTTTCTTCTTCCACGTCATCTTCAACAAAGAGGTGAGGAAAAACCTCAAGAACGTCCTCACAGGAAAGAAGACCATACCTGACGAATCCAGCACCACAAGGGCCTCATTGCTCACGGTAAGTGAAGAGATGTACACTAATATGGCCCAGAATCAGAATCATCAGACAAAACAAAGTCATATATATTGTTTTGTTTTTCCTCCTCTCCCTCTATCCTGTCATCCCTCCATCCTCAGCGCTCTCTCAACTGCAACAACACGTACACAGAGGACGGCCCGCTGTACCGCTCAGGCATTGGCGAGTCCACCGTCTCCCTGGATAGCACGCTCAGGTCAGCCAAGAGCCGCAGCAGCTACCTGGCTTACACACTCAGGTACAACACGCTCACTGACCGCATGGCTGCTTCTACTACACTGCTGCATGACAAGTGTGTGTGTGTGTGTGTGTGTGGGTGTGTGTGTGTGTGTCCACTTCAGACCTTTCTTTATATTGTCTTTCTTTGTTCTCCTACCTGCATGTCTGCTGATGCACCAAGTGTCTCACACTTACTAACACACCCCAAACCCCTAATTTAAAGATATATATACTGCATATATCGACACACACTTTACAGGTGCACACACACTGTCACGCTGTCCTTATTCTCTGCCTCAGCCAAAGCACAGATATGTTAAATTGCTGAGTTTATCTGCATTTTGAGGGTGTTTCTTTCTTTTCTTTTGCACATGCATGCTGCCACAGAATGGCACCTGCACTGTACAGTAACTCTGCTTGCATGAAGGATCATGATGAGATCTGCCAGTGCATGGCGCATGGCTTGGTTGCAAAACCCAAAACACACATATAGGAAAAGACGTATCAACTCTCACTGATATGCACCAAGACAAAAGAACACACCACACTATGAATACACACTGTTATGTTGTTGTGTCTGGTATGTATTGATAGATTAAGCTGCTCGCTTTGATCATGTCAAATCTGCCTTGATGCATGTTTTGTGGAACTGCAAGTGTCATGATATGAGGAGTGAAGATGAGAGAGCAAACTTTCAGAGTACAGAGACGCACTGAATACATTTTAATAATTTAATGTTAATGTGGCACAGCTTCAAAGCACTGGAACTGACAGATAAGAGAAATACACTGAAAGTAAACAATAACCTTCGTGAAGGTAGGATTTATTGCAGAGCTGCTTAAGTTTAACGCAAGGAAAGTTTCTTTATGTAACATATTTCATACACAGAGGCAGCTCAAGGGGCTTCACATACTGACAACTAAACAAAAAGATACAGGAATAAGAAATATAAGTACACAAAACTTGTTTTTACATAAATAATTCTAAAAAAGACGTAGTTCGAAAGAATTAATGAGTGTAAAATAAAAAGTTTGAAATAATGATAATAAAAAACACATAAAAGGCAAAATAAAGTGCCGTTTCAGTGCAAATGAAACATAGAATTTCAGTCAAAAGCAGTCATGAACATTAAAGTCTTTACCCTGTTTTTAAAGTAGTTAACATTGGTGCATATCTGAGTTCTTCCATCAGTTTGTTCCAACAGTGGACCGGTATAAAAACTAAAAGCAGCTTCACCATGTTTAGTTCTGACTCTGGGAGCAGGTAGCTGACCTGCTCCGATGACCTGCGAGGCCTGGAGCGTTGGTAGCAAAGAAGTGGGTCAGAAATGTATTTGGGCCCTAAGCTGTTAAATGATTTACACACAACCAGCAGTAAATTCAAGTCAATAATATAGTAGCCAGTGCAGAAGTGCATAGATTTTCAGTCAAAAAGTATCACTACTGTGATGCAGTCAAGAAACTTTACAGGTGTGTAGTTGAGATCACAATGAAGGCTGTAGGGGCGCTGGAAGTAAGGAAGGGGCCATTGCACCACCCCAATTTACGCCCTTGGCCCACATTATTATAAGTCGTGGATCAGTACCTCTGCTGGTGTGATCCCATCACAATATGATCTCTATTTATAACTTGTTTTTTTGCTTATGGGGTGATAATCACAGTTCAAGAGCAGGATGAACATACTATAGTGTACACTTAAATATTTTATGCAAACCTGTTATGTATAGCACCGTGTCCACTGCTCCATGCTAACTCTTTAGCATCCACTATGGAGCCTACTGTGAAGTTTGACAAGTTATACACCAGCAGGCTCTTACATTTTATGCTGTAAAATGTAAGAGCCTGCTGTACTGCACTGTATAACGTGCTTCCAATGTTATTCGTTCTGCTGCATAGAAAATATATGTGATAAATGATGTGCTATCGTATGTAGCCAAACATTACAGCAGGTAGACATGATGTAGCTTAGCTTTTTTTTATAGCATTTTTAAAATGTATAAATCAACAAGTCTTTCTTATTTTGACTATAGCATACAACCATTTTCAACAAAAAAGTAACATCATAACCAGCCAGCAGAAAGCTGTTGTATTAAACTGCCTTACTCTCAGCGAGGTTTTTACTTGTTTTCTACTTACTACAGTTCAATAGGGTAGGTGATCATACTGCAGACACCACAAGTGTTCATGTGTGCCTGGTATATATAGCCTAGCATTGTGTCCACTGCTCCATACTAGCTCTCTTAGCTACTAACAATATCTTCTAGCAGTAATATAATTGATTATTAGCAATGCCCAAGGTTCCCATGGTCATGAAATTCCTGGAAAATGTATGAAATCATATTTTCAATTTTCAGGCCTGGAAAGGGTTTGAAATTAAGACAATGTTTTGGAAAGTTTTAAATATACTCATATTCATGAAAACGTTACGCGAATGGATATTTTTTAGCATGTGTAGATCGACATGTTTTCTTACTTACTAAATATTAGTATGGGGCACTTGAGCATCAGGACAAGCGTATTCTTGATTCATCTCTAAAGAGTTGACATTTTGAGCTACAGCTCTTCCTGGATATTTCATCCCAGGTTAATCTCACCCGCCCGTCTTGTACATCTGTGTGTTTGCGTGTATCACAGGCATGTTTTCATCGCCATGGAGTGGTGTTACACATAACTGGTGTCTTTAAAGAGTTTTACAGAATCAAGGTTAGGTCTGACTGTACGCCTTGGCTCGTAAAGCTGTCATCTGGGTAACGCGAGCTCGCGATGGGGTCAATGAGAGCAAAAACGCCAGAAGGGGGAAGCGGGATGGCGTGCTGCCTGTGCGAGAGGCAAAGGGGGAGAAATAGAAAGAGAGGGGAGGAGGAAAGAGGGGGAAGACGGGGGAAGAGAAGGGCAGGAGACTTGGGAAGTAAGAGAGATGGGACTGTACCTGTTGAAGTGGGAATGTAATACAGACACACATGCTTCTTCCCTGTGGCACTTGGCACGTCTTCAGCTGCTTCCAGAAGTCTCTCTCAGATCAGCCTCAGATCAGGAGAGTCTCCAATAGCGTTTTCCCCTCCAGCAAACATCTCGACTCAACGTGGAATAAAAAGCCACAGGTGGAGAGGAGATTATTGCAGGTTAAGTAATAAGTCTCAAATTACCCTCCATTTATCTATCTGTGGTAGGCGTTTCTATCAAGCAGCCAGTTTATTAAGTTTACCCTGATGCAAACACACCTAAACCACAATTTAATATTTGTTTAAGTCTTTGTTGAATCCATCAGCAGAGGTTTTGTAACAAGAGAAGTCTGGTGTTCAAGCTGTAGAACGTTACTCGTTTCAAACCGCGAGTTTGGGCTTGAATCAACTTCCAGAGACGCCGCGCTTCCCCCTCTCTGCCTCCTCTTAATCTCCACCTTTTCTTTTCCACTCCCATTTCTACCTCACTCCCCAGTCCTTCTCCTCCATTCCTCCGTCCTATATCTGTCTTTATCTACGAAGGGAGGAGTCTGGTCAGAAGCCCAGCGTCTCCTCAGGAACAGCTAAAGGACACACAGATCTGGACGGACCTTTGTTCCACAGGAACGGCACCAAGGGAGAAGGTGAGTTTTTGTAAATGAAGTCAAACCTCTCACTCACGAGCTTGTGCACAAAGATGCATACATCTTTTTGTTTTATTAATGGAGGTTCATCTTTCTACCCTTCCTCTTTGTCCCCCATCAGACTCTGACTCAGACAGCGAGCTGTCAGTCGACGAACACAGCTCCTCCTACGCCTCCTCCCACTCCTCCGACAGCGAGGATGACGACATCGACGTCAAGCCCAAGTGGAACAACGAGAGGCAGCCTGTTCACAGCACACCTAAAGGTACATGGGTGGTCCTATTGAAATGAGGAAGCCTGCAACTAAAATGTTGAGGCTGACTGGAAATGTCTGCTATCATTGCTGCTCCTAATATGTCTTCTTTTCCTGTCTAGTGGATTCAGTGTCCAATCACGTGAAGCCTTACTGGCCCACAGAGACCACCACAGCCAGTGACAGCGAGGATCCAGGCGGGGCACAGAGGCTGAGGGTGGAGACCAAGGTGAATGTAGAGCTGCATCCAGAAAATAAGCTCAACCACATCGGCGAAAGAGAGAGGGAGACTCCCACGGAGAGAGACAAACAAACGGCTGGTAACGCCAGAGATGCGGCGCCACCTAGCCAACCTCACAGCAACAGCAACCACCAACCAGAGCAGAGAAAAGGTAACAGAAGAGAACTGTTTTGAATGAAACTGAATTGACTGATGTGATTTACACTGGGCTGAACTCTCTGTCTGTCTCAGGTATCTTAAAGAACAAGATCAGCTACCCTCCTCCGCTGACGGACAAGAACATGAAGAACCGTCTGAGGGAGAAGCTGAGCGACTACAACCCCCCCACCATCACCTCCCCTCCCCCCAACAACAACAACACCTCCTCCCCGCCCCTCTCCTCCGTCAACATCATGACCCCTTCATCCCGGCCGCCCTCACTGGCCTCCAACGACGGCAGTCGCCCCGGCAACCATGACAACAGCTCCCTCATCAAGCCCCCTGTCGCCACGCGGCCGCAGATTCCTGCAGGGGCTCCACCGGCGAGCATCTACCGGGAGACCAACGGAGGGGTGGCAATGCACTTGAAGTCAGGGACGGTTAACGGAGGCAACGATTCTGACTCAGAGTGAGTAGCGCTCCAGAGTGTTAGCATGCAGCGATGACAAGTTTTTACTTTGCATCATTAACATATAACATCAACAATAATATAAAGCAAATGAATGAGTGTCATTTAATCATGTTTAATCTCTTTGAAAAGGATTAAAGATCAGTTTGATCGTGACTTAAAGAGTTTGAAAAAACCTTTGAACAGTCAGTATGTATCAGTTGACCTTAATGTCAACTAATGCAATAATGCATGTATCATAATACGATCAAAGAAATGATTGTCAGGTTTACATATTTCTGTTACTTACATATGAAATTTCCTTCCATCTGAATCAAGTAATTTTAATATAAACCAACAAATTCCATTTACCATTAAATCAGATAAAACTGAGATGAATGGACTATGAGAATTTAGAAAGCTCATAGAATTAATGTAATTTACTTTCGTGAAGTTTATGTTTTTATTACTTTGAATAAATTCTCCGTCATCATGTTTGAAACACACTGAAATTATCAACAGTATTAGCATCTTTGCATTTGAAGTCATGTATCTGTGCGCTGACCAGATGAAGGGCAGGCAACTGCGCAAATGCCTGTGATTTACGGCTGTTCCATTCAATCAAACTGGGGGGAAAAAGGCCACTTTAAGTCCCGAAAATATTAGGATGCAAAAGGGAAAAGTAAAAAAAAACTCTCTGAGAAACTCTGGAAGAAAAAAAATCTGTCTTCAGTCTGAAGGAATGTCGTCAAGTACTATCAAACGTTAATGCTGAAGCGTTGTGTTAAACATGCTTAGAGTTGAATGTAATTTCAATGTTTCCATGTTTTTAGCCACAATTCAGATTTTTACTAGTGTTTCATCTGACCTCTGTTGGCATATAAGGTGGAAAATAATACCTAGAGTTCGGTAACGTTACCCAGTAATGTTGGCCTGAAAGTGTTGCATCCATTTGTGGAGTTGAAATGTAGAAGACATTTACTCACCCGACCAAAAACGAAGCAGTTGTTTCAGCCATGGAGCCAACCGCACACAAAATAGTCAGAGTCCTCCTGACCCTTGTACGCTTTCATCAGCTCGACGTGTAACATTAGAGGTCTGGAGGATGTGGTCATTTGTTTTGATGATCATGTCCACACCGGGCAAATTGGTGAAGTTGTGGTAAAAATCACTTTACTTCATCATGTGTGGATGTCAACCAACATGATTTAAAATTTTCTGATGATATTCCAAATCATGCAGTATATGGATTCATCACTTCCTCTCCTCCATCAGAATTTTGCATGTCGTAATAGTCACGTGATTATTTAGTTTGATTAAATTACATAAATGGTATTTGTCGGTTTTATGTTAGACTCAGTTGGATGGAAATTTTAAATGTAATTGAAATACATACACCTGACAAAATATACCAAATAATTCCTTTGAGTGCAGGATCCAGAGTTAAAGGAACACTCTGACATTTTGGGAAATCTGTTGTTTGCTTTTTTGCAGAGAGTTAGACAAGAAGATTGATATCACTCTTTTATATGTACGGTAAATATTTAGCTACAGGCAGAGGCTGGTTAGCTTAGCTCAGTTTCCCAGAGAACAGAGCATACAGTTAGCCTCGCTCTGCTGTTCATCCATTTTTACTTTTGTATAGAGCAAATAAATTTAACTAAACAAATGAGACATAAGGTGTTACTTAATGAGATTGTGTTACCTTTGTACAGAGCCAGGCTAGCTGTTTCCTGTTTACAGTCTTTATGCTAGGCTAAGCTACCAGGCTGCTGCAGGTAGCATGATTTAGTGCACAGGCATGAAAGTGGTATTGATCGTCTCATCCAACTCATTCAAGTGAGTCATCAGATTTCCAAAAATGCCTAACTCCACCTTTAACTATAGCATGAGTAATATGACCACCCTGCTTAAATGCTGCATGATGACTTCCTGCATCCCTGCATTCATTTTCACCTTGCATGTTCTTTCTCCCTGCACCCTTCCTGCACCCTCCCCCCGTCCCTCCTCTTCCCCTCCCTGCGTGTCCTCCATTAACAGCGGCAGTAACGAGACTTCGATCTGACCTGTTAGGAAAACCCAGACCAGCCTGCCCTTGTGAGAGAAGGAGCAAAGAACCTGCTGGGGGAGGAGAGGAAAGGAGGAGAGCCATGAGGACGGGAATAAAAGAAAAGAAAACTGAAGACGGGCAGGGTGCTGCAGATTGGGTGAAAGGGGAGGAAACAGTTCCCCACGCCTGATCTGTCCATCCACCCCTCCTCTCATGTTCCCTCTCTCTGGAGAGCAGTATTAATTGCAGACTTTAAGACTGCCTGAGACAAGAAAATAAGCAGATAATGAAAAGATGTGAGAAAACAATAAAGGGAATTCTGGACTGTACCAAGAGAGGAAGCAATGGAGCCACGTGTGCCAAAACCACTGTAGGAAATGGGGACGCAGAATCGGAAGATGAAGAATTGCCCCCAGGATGCATTGCAAGCCCCAAAACGGTGTTCCTCTGTGGTGGTTATGTTGCCCTGTTAATGGGTAAAGTTAGGAAAGCTGGAAAAGGCAGATGAACAATCACTGTGCATGAACTCAGACTCAGATACATGCTGGTACATTTGTAGTCCTAAAGGATTTCAAGGACTACAAGTCCCATCAGGCACAACCTGCTGTCTCACTGACTATCGGACACATCTGACGGCACTATCACACACCAAGTGCTCTTTTTTTTTGTTTTGTTTTTTACTCAAAGAAAGGCTTCCGCGGCCTCTCAATGCAGTGCATTTAGAGTGTAATTAACATGTAGATATTGTTAAAGGTGAAGAAGAAATGATCTATTTTGTATGTCAGTCGTAGCGAGGACAAGTTTGTCGACTAAAAATCATTTGCCTGTGTTATTCCAATGGTGAAAATCACTTGATATGCTGGTTTAATAGACTGAGAACAATCCTGAATCAAGGCCTTACACAAACAAACACACACCATCTCAACCTGTCATGGGCTTTGCAGAGATCCGCCACACTCTCTGGCACGAACACATAACGGATGCTGTTATGTTTGTGTGTGAGAGCGACCTAGAATGTCCAAAGTACATGCACACACAGTACAGTGGGCCTAAATGAACATCAGTTATGTGGAATGGAGAGGAATCGCCCCTCCTGTTGAAAACTCAGTTTTCCTGTTCAAGCACTATAAACCTGAAGCCTTCTTTTCCAGTGTCCTTCCTGCCTGTTTGTCCGATGCAACACTGTCCTGGTTACCAAAGTCATGAACTACAGTAAATGTGCACATTAGGGTTGGAGTCAGTTTCACTTTTAACTCACTTTTCTTCCAAAATAGGGGGCAGAGAAAGACGTTTACTGGTCTTTGGTGGCATTGAAATACAGCTCAGGATTATAAGTTATCTTAAAGGAATAGCTCAAGTGAGGTTTTATGAGGTACATATCTATATTCTGTGTATTACTTTAAGTAGATAGCAGCCAGTACATCCCCATTTTGAAGAAACAGATGCTACAGAAGCTAAGCAATGTACTCTTGTGGATGGGGGCTGCAGCGAAACATATTTTCGCCAGCTAAAAGAAAACACCTAAAAATATCTAAATCAGTTTGAATGTACGCCATTTCTTTTCCATCAGACATCGATTTCTGACATGGCTCTGAAGCCATACATCGCTCTCTTTAATGCCAGACTCATTGTGGAGAAATAGTGATCACTGAACACAGGAGTTGCTGTTCTACAGCTGCCTTAAGGGGGATTTATACTAGTGCGGCAGACCCTACACCGTAGCCTACACACATGGCCTACACCATTGTAAGCATTTCTACTTGTGCGGTGGTGTGGCTGTGTCACTCTGCAGTTACTCCTCCAAACCACTAGTCGGCGATGGGGTTTCTGTGAAGTGCTGTAAAGTTGAGGTGACTCAAAACATGGCCAAAACACACATTAAACACACATTGAACATGGCTTAATAGAGACAGAAACACAAGTACACAAATCAGCTTCACTATAACTTGCAGCATTCACAGACAAACACTTGTATTTATCTGGACACATTTTCCCCACAAATACAACATGCTAACGTTATTAGCTCAAGCCTATGGCATTTTACATTGTATAATTTAGCCTAGCGGCTACAGAACTTTTTCCTCTTTTCATATGCAGCCAGGTACAGCAGCAACATTTGATAAAGGTAATGTTACTGTACAAATTTAGCTCCCTTACAGCTCACAAGGTTCACTGACAAAACAACTGTCTTATACTAAACACGTTTTCCAAACAAATGTGACATGCTAACATTATTAGCACAAGCCTATGGCATTTTACTTTGTATAAATTAGCCTAGCGGCTAGCAGACTTTTCCTCTGCTCATATGAAGTCAGGATAAATCACACACAAGACTTAAAATGCTATTTTTGTGGAGGCTTTACTGCCTTCACGATTTATTGTTTCTTATCTGTGAAATTAAAGTAAATAAAAGCTTTATTTCCACTGAGGGAAATGGTTTCAGCTTACAAACATAGACAGGAGGTCTGCGTTGCCGCGACGTGTAGTTGCATTTCTTGGGAAGTGCACATCAGGCTACAGCATAGGGTACGGCATAGGCTCTTCGACGTAGAGCCTACGCCGTAGACAGGCATCAATTTGACGCACAAGTATAAATCCCACATTAATCAGTTAGTTTATGTGTGTTATTGTGTTACACTGGCGTTTAAAAGGGTTAATATGGATTCACCAAAGTCATACACTAGCTGAAACAAAGTCTGATCAAGGCAGCAGTACACCAACAGCTCCCATGTTCAGTGAGCCAAAATTGCTGTTTTTATCAACGGAGCCTGGTAGCTTTGACGGGAGAACAGATGGAGAACTCCTGCCTGCTTCTTTTAACTTTGGGGTGTGCTAACTGCCATCTACAGTAGATAATACAATGACTATGCATAAGTACCGTATACAACCCTAATCGTAACTATCCCTTTAGGATCTATGCTTTTCAAGCACTCGCTAATAGATTTCATGTTTTTTAAGCATATTTTTAATCCAAAATCGACTCTAAATCACTCAGTCAACATCGATTCAGTATAAGTTTTAAAACGTTTGAGTTCAAAGTGAAAAAGATGCCAACCCTGTGCATTCTGCAGCTAATATTAGGCAACTTAAAGTCTTGTTTACCACTCACTGAATGCCTTTGTACCATATGTACAACCCCAGTGTTTTGCCCTCCTGTAATCAACGCTGTTGATACATGTGTTTTTTTTATTGATCCGAGACACTGGAAATGTTTTGTAACATAATGTATATTTATTTTTTATGGTTTTAAGACACTGGAAAGAAAAGTTGATTGTGACTGTAAAATTAAAGATGACATGATGAATTTTTAACTGTGTTGTGCAGCCTATTGTAGTACATGTCTGTTGCCTGGAAGGAAGCGTGGCGAGTAGAAACATGTGCAGTACTCATGGGAAATTAGGTAACTTTTTTTGGCTCCGACAAGTGATGAGTAACAGAAATTGTTACTCAGGAGCAGGTGATCACATGTGTATAGAGTGTCTAGAGTCATAAATAGCACGACAGATATATATTTTTTTTACTTTGGGGTACATGGGCCACATAAGATTTTTTTTTTTTTTTTCCCCAAAACTTAAACTTTGATTTTTTTTCGTCGTTAGTATTTCATTTTATCAAGAAAACCTTTTTAGGAGTTTTGTACTGTATGTTTAGGTAATAAAATATTCCCATTTTCACATCAGGGAGAGAATAATATTATGGATGGAGGGACAGAGACACCAGATTTCAAACAGAGGCGCACCCTGCGGTGCTGTGTATACTATGGAGATGTTGTCCTTACAAGGTAATGTATGGGGAGAACAGTCTTACTGTCTCTATGTGTCCTGTGCCAAGTGATCAGAGCCCTGCTCACTATCAGAGAACAGCGCAAGTCAGTTTACTGTAGGAGTGAGAGGTTAAAGGCTGACTGTTGAACCTTAAACATAAGAAGTGTGTGTGTGTGTGTGTGTGTGTGTGTGTGTGTGTGTGTCAAAGTGGGTGGGTGGTTGGAGATATGGGTGTATCTGTCTGGGTGACTGTGTTAATCCTCATAGAACAATGGTGGCAGCCGGTCCTATTAAATCCCCTCACTTTGATCCAAACGTTGCAGGGCACACACATTTACACACAGTCTATGGAAGGAAGTAATTGCATCACACATGCACACACCTACACACACGATTGTTTCACTGTTGCTGTTTTTAAAAATATTTTTCAGTTGAAGGAAGGACTGAACTCTTTTTCGGGTGAAAATATTCACCAATGGAAGTATGTTCCACTAAATAATCAAAATTTGCTTGTAATCCAAAATTAGCCTATTGTTTTTTGAGAAGCGTACTTTGTGCACAGTCAGGTATCCATAAAGCGAATCTGGTGTCTCCAAAGCAACATGAGATTACTGTTAAGTTTAATTTCATATTTTTTGAATGTTGTGGCTCAGGCAAAAACCTTGTATGTTGACAACCATTACTTTTTAGAAAATGAGGAAAAAACCTTTGTATTGAAGTAACTACAACCCAACAATTTAGCATTAGTTAAATATTTGTGAAACCCACATACAGACGTAAAGGGTAACCATTAACATTATTTGATTGAAGAAAAATAAATACATTAGAAATATGGAGATGCAAGGTCACAAACGACAGGGATGATCTGGAAAGTAGACTATGCTTATTTGCTCTCCTAGCTAGCTTAGCTTAGCTTAGCTTAGCTTAGCTAAGCAGAAAGACTGGAAAAGGGGGTCATCCCTATGTTTCCCGGGTTCTATGTTTCCCAGGTTCTATGTTCCCCACTCAACCAAAAAGGGTTCTATGTTTCCCAGGTTCTATGTTCCCCACTCAACCAAAAAGGGTTTTATGTTTCGCTTGGTTGAGCGGGAAACATGGAACCCGGGAAACATAGGACTTTTTTTGTGTAAGCAGGGAACATAGAACCTTTTTTGCAGGGTTAAGTGGGGAACATAGAACCCAGGAAACATAGATACGCTCCCAAAATATCACATATGACAGCCCCTAATTATCATATCCTACACTTTTTGCATGGATTGAACAAACTAGGTTTAACATTTTAGTTAGTGATATACCTTTGTTATCCCCTGCTTCCAGTCTTTGTGCTAAGCTAAGCTAGCCAGCTACTGGCTATAGCTTCAAGAAAGCGAACAAGCATTTGCAAAATGTAAACTGTCAAACTAAAGTACTGCTTTAAATATTCAAAGCGCATTTGTGACTCTGCGGTTTTCTGCACATGGCTCAAAATGGAGGTAGCTGAGCTGGCAGCTAGTAGCTAATGTAGTGAACAGTGCTAACAATAGCAAAGGTGGTGACAGAGATATAAGTGTTAATGTGGGGGGGAACCAAAGGTTGAGCACTGTCAGTAGTAACAGCTGTAGGAGCACATTGCAGAGCAACAGCAATTAGCTAGCCAGTGGGCTACCAACACAGGACAAAGAACAGAGAAGCTCAGATGACAACACACAAGGAGGTAGTGTGACCTCATTTTCTGGGCAGGGCACCATAGAGTGTTTCAGGTAGGAGGTTTTTCTGTAGGCTGACATGGAAAAGTTCATGAATTTTGATTGGTGAAATGTGAATTTGCTTTACAAATTAGCTTCCTGAAAGAAATTTATTGATTAGGTAAAAATTTCTACATTGTGCAACACAAATCTTCCATAAACTTGCCACTAAATATACTTTATAGTTCGTAGTAAGTCACTACAAAGCCCTGCACTGAACTTTTCCCCTTCATTATCTACATTTTTTTCCACAGCTCGGGCCACATTAAGACCTGGCACTTTGCTCTGGCATTCCAAAGTAAGCCATCTATACGCAGCCCTTCACTTTAATGTTTGTCTGTAGGAATTTGTCTTCAGCCATATGTACCAGATTAGCCGAGATGCACTTAGGAGGCGGCGGATCAAAGAGCTGGGGAAAAGTAAAAGGTTGCTGAGGTCAGACAGGACCATGAACGCTCCTTTTACTTAAACCAGGGGGAAGATGTAAGTGCATGACCTCACCACGAGGCCTTCTCTTCTCTATCCACGTCTTAGTATAGATAAGATAAGTGTACTCTTGTTATTGGTGTCCTGTTATTTGCATTGTTAGGGCCTGGAAATGGTAACTGTGCCAAGTCCGTCACATAAACACGCACACATACAGTCTGCAGCCCGACAGGTATTGCCAAGTATAATATAGTCAGCAGGCAGAGTGAAAGGTTAGAGGGGAGGGTCAGGTTTCACAAGTCTATTGGGCGGTTAGTTGTTATGGCAACTGAAGCCGGTACTCTCCTCAGGTGACATAAGGTACAAAGATGAAGTAAGGAGTTGGAATAGAGGTCAAAATATGACTGGTGGTGGGATTAGTCGTCACAATCATGACACATGTAGGTAGTAAGTTCACAGTAGCTACACTTTGCCTGCGTTCCATATCTTCTCAATGACATTTAATCAACTTCTACACCGGTAAGAAGGCTGTAAAACAATTACCATTTTGTCAGATGTTCAGTATTTCACTTTGGAAAGTTGGGAAATTTGGAAAACCTTTAACTTGAAACTTGAGGAGTTGAGTAGGCACAAGTAAATAGTCTATCAGTGTGACCCTCTGCCCTCCTCTTTATCTCTGTTCCATCACAGCCAGGCAAGCTAAATAATTCAGCCTCATCAGGGCCACGGTTGGCATCCTAAAGAAACGACTGTGCTGCTGAACAAGACCAGGCAGGAGGTGAGACAACGACTGATCCAATTGTGCCATCTACTGGTGAAGAATTTCAAACTATGTAGGCTGAGTGTTCTTTTACCTTTGTGCTTGTGAGGACAGTTATTAAAACCATCAAAGGTTGAGAGAAATCCCTTAAAGTGACTGTAACGTTTTTAAGAAGAATCAAGCCTTTTACAAACAAGAAGTTGAATTCATAAGCAATTAA